AGGTTCCTTGCACTAGATATTGAGTGGTGTGAACCTACATCTGCTCCCCTTCTTGATCTGATATTGTGTCCAGTAGGCTGGCTGCGTCTCCACTTTCTTCACATTGAGATGAAGTCAATCTGATTTTTAGTGTCTATCTGATGAAATTAAATCCATGTCGCTTTGTGAATGTCCTTGTGTTTGTACACACTGCCTCCAATCACCGAGTCGTTGAATGCGCAGAAGTCTGCAAACAGTTCTCGTTTTTCATTCATTTCACAAACGAGTACTTCTCGACTCATGATTGGTTCTCTTCCTGTGCTGTCTGCTCCCAGTTTAGCATTCATGTCACCCCACCCATTAGAATTTTGATGTTGCCAACTCGGATAGGGTTCTTGTCCAGTACTGATTGCAGTTGTCTATAGAATTCCTCCTTCTTCTCTTGGTCCGCGTCTGCATTATTTGTTGTTGCGTAGCCCAGTATTGTATGATTGTGACTTTCCTTCCTTTTGAGTTGAACCTTGATGTCATGATCCTGAAGGAGGAGATTGGTTCCCACTGCATGACAGACTTCGATGCTTCTGAAGGTGACATCATGATAGCCACTCGAATACTCGGTGTGCTTGTAATTGTCGTCTGGATGAAAATATCGGAATAGATTATTGACTCTCCAGTTGACGGTTGGGAGAGTCTACTTCCATTCCATCTGATTTCGCAGATTCCTGGCACTTCTATGCCATACCTCCTCATCTCTTTTGCAATCTGGGCAGTCTTAGTAGGCTCGTGCATGGTGCGGACATTCTATGTCCCCATGTTTACATTCGCTTTCATCGAGAGAAGAGAAGACACTTCGGCCGATTGGCTTCCTGAAGGCTTTCACCAAATGGCGTGATTTCTTCTCTCCGATTCCAACGAGGAATAAGTTTGTTTTTGTTTTTTATAATTTCTTTGTGCTTTGAAGTTTCTTTAGCGGTAAGATTGGTATTTTGGGGTAGGGTTGCTAGCCCTATGCCCAACCTTCCCTTTTTATCCGGGCTTAGGTCCGGTTAGTAAACTAGGAGGCTTGATAGACGCCAATAAATAACAACGGATACTCATTGTACAAGAGGTGGCTCTCGTGTCTCAGTGAATAACACCTTGGTGCTTGGAGCGCCAGGTTTGGGGCTAGAAATCCCAATGGGAAGGACATCACCCAATAGGGTGCAGGTACATCTAGGTGACGGGTACCAAATAGGAGGATACGCGTGTTGTGGATTCCAACATTGGCTACCATTTAAACTATAAAATAGTCTAGTCCATTCACTACGTAAAGGCGAGTTCCGATCACGTGATCACCTTCTACTAGACGCTTTAACAATGCCAATATATACTGTATGACGATTATCTTTGTGTTACTTAACATTTGGACTGTTTTCACTTCATTAAACAGAGTTGTACTATCGTGGAGAATGTTTATAGCTCAGGTGGATGGTCTTGATTGTATTGTGTCCTCTGAGCCGGGTTGTTTAATCGTGAAGCTTTCGTCGTCCTTCTAGACGACATTATCAGCACTAACTTCTGTATGAAGTGAGCTGTCAATATCTCTCCATGAGTAATTTAGAAGCTTGCCTTGACGAAGTGGTCTATGATCCTTTGTTCTTTCGATTGCTGTGTCATTGCCTGTATAGATTTTCCTGTTGGCTATCCCTCTGCTTGACCTCTGACCTTCCTTTCGTTTATCACCCTTCTTCCTGCTTCTGCAGAAGCAGTGATGCAGAGACTGGAAGTCATCATCCTACCTGTGATCAAACCAAAATTAATGATTCGCTATGTGGACGATGCTTTTGTCATCATTAAAAAGGATGACATAGAAAACATCCACAATTTGATCAGCTGTTTTCAGTGGCATCAAATTCGCAATGGAGAAAAAGTCAAACAACAAACTACCATTCCTGGATGTTCTAGTCAATAGAACAAATGCCGAAAAGCTGGGAACCCGAGTGTAAAGGAAGCCAACACACACTGACCAAGTCCTCAACTACAGTAGCAACAACCCACAAGATCAGTTGCGTGCAGACTCTATTCGGAACAGCCAGGACACACTGCAACACAACAACTTTACGGGGGAAACGAGGAAAATTATTTGATGTCCATCCTAAAGAAGAACGTCTACCCACAACACTATCAGAAGATGCCTATTCCGCACATCAACTACAAAGTCATCGAAAAAAATCAACAAACGCATCATCCTACCATACATAAAGAATATAACAGAAATCACGACAAGATTACTGAGACCACTTGGAATTGGTGTGGCTCATAAACCAACAAATTACCTCCAACCTCTAACTATGCAGACCAAAGGATGCAACAAGCAAAGAAGACAAACCGAACACCATTTACAAAATCAACTGCAACCACTGTATTCAACACTACATTGGACAAAGTGACTGCCCTCTTCGCCTTCATCTACATGAGTACCAATTGGCTATTAAATACCACGAAATTTCGTCACTCATTTCAATGCACGTGGATAATCATGGACATGAATTCAATTTCGATAATGTAGAAATTTTGGACAGAGGAAACACAAAAAATATCAGAGAATTTCTCGAAGCTTAGCATTCAGGTCAGTCAGCAATCAATAGATGTATAGACGTAGACCCGATCTATCAACCAATGAGAAAAATGATAAACGACAGAAAGGTCAGAGGTGAAGCAGAAGAACAGACAATAGGAAAGTCTATACAATCAATGACACAACAGTCGAAGGAAACAACCAATCACAGACCACATCGTCAGAGCAAGCTACTAAATCGCCCACGGAGAGATATTGACAGCTCACTTCATACAGAAGTTAGTGCTGATAATGTCGTCTAGAAGGACGACGAAAGCTTCACGATTAAACAACCCAGCTCAGAGAACATAATACATTCAAGAGTTGCGTTATGGAACTGTCTATTTAGGAGGGTCTTTCAAATATTTCCTAACACCTTGAAAACTTTAAACGAAAAGACCTCAGGGGTAGAGATTAGGAATGTACCACCGCCTTCTAATACTGTTGTAAAATAACAGTAGGGTAAGGTAGGTCTTTTAAATTCAGTCATTCTTTCTTGACTTTGCCATCGATGACCATACGCGACAGAGCGATGAATGGAGAAAGACTTTACGACATTGAGTAGGCAGATGATGTCATTTTACTGCATAACAACATACAGTCTAATAAAATCACACTTAATCAGTATGCATGAGTATGTCATTTGCTTTCCACTATTGAAAAGCAAAGCACCCTTATAAGGTTGACAGAAGCTTGTGTTTGCGCACACCCTCTCAGATAAACCATTGAAAGTAGAGAGAAAATTAGCATATGGAGTTATTTGAATAACGGCTGGTGGATGTGTGATTCATAAAATTTCCAATCATATATCAGAAGCAACAACGGAGTACTCTACTCTAGATCCCCTTTCGTGCAGTCATGACATTACCCCAGCAGTACGACCCATCAGTGCGAGTAGATATGCTCTACTTCTGTAAAACCTGGCTTATCTGAGCTCAACACGCTCGATGACTCCATAAATTTGATAACTTTTGTCACTGTAAGACTGCTGGCATCCGGTAAGAAAGACCTCGTAACTGATTCGGAGGTGCAGTGGTGCATGCTTGCACGTCATAGATATTTTTATTCACTGAGCGATTTCACCTTAAAATCACAGCCTTTGGAATGGTTGGAAGAATCATAGAAGTGTATCACATGACAGTGTAAGATGATGGATAACTACGTTAGGCCAGCATCTATTGGTGGGGTCTAAGGATAATGCAACATGGAGGCCTGAGACACAATTAGCTAATGAGCAGAATCAAAACCTATACCGGTCATATATCAGTTTCCTCGTGCCTTCTATCCGTGTAAAGTAAGTAATAAGCAAACAATGAATGTATCTTATGTGACTTACTGTCCGGTCTATATATTTCTCTTTTGATTTCTTCGATTTTTATTTATTTGCTTTATCATATTCTTATATTATCTTGTGTGATGTATATATTTCCGTAGATATAGCTTCACCAACTTTTGCTTAAAATGAAATAAATCAGCTGGTTCTCTTTGTATATTAAATTTCAAGATTTTTGTAACCAGTAAACCATATTAAGTTATCGTATAAAAAACGAATAGACAATGAGTCTTTTGCGGAAATTTTGTGCCCAGTAGCCCTCAAAATCGGTAAGATGTACATCAACACATGCGCAGATTCACGCTTTAGCAACTAGGGGTCAGTAACAAAACTGTCAAGCGTTGGGTAATTATATTTCTATAGACTAAAATATGGTATCCTACTTAGACTAATAATCATTTGACTCTACTTCAATATATGTCACAGTTTTCAAAAAAATGCAATTTAGTGAAACTGGTAACTAACTGACTAACTAACTAGTAAAAACTTCTAATGTATTCCAATCAGTGTTTTGGAGTTTATCTACTCGAACAAAGACATCAAGGTCAGAGTACTATAGGGTGATGGATCACCCTGAGATAGGGTTACACTTTGAAACCATGTACTAAATATGACGATTTAGCACTCACAAGTAATAAACAGGGGGAGGGGGATGAAGACTCATAGCCTATTCGTGCATGAATGTGTGTCAAATTGCTTTTTGTTTTGTAGCAATGATGACGATCAAAATGGTAAGAATCGCTGGTACAATCTGAATCGAACAGTCGCTTCTCAAATCTAGTCTTGATTGATCGGCATTGAAGTTGTGGTCAATCAGCTTTATGGAAAGCAAACAAGATGAAGAAGAGTGTCCGTGATCAGTGACAATACGACACTAGTGAGTTGAAATCAGAGCGATTTCAATCATCTATATGAGTTAGCTGACACGTGAGGCGAACAGTATTAAACGCGAAGGACAACGCTTGAACATCCTATTACTATTCAGGATTCCGATAGATTTTTAGTACAAAATGATTACTTTTAAGGTAGCAATGTTGTATAAAGAAACAATTGAAAAAGGGTAATATATACAACAACGATTAAATTACTTACAAGTCGACTTTGTGTTTCTTTGAGATAGCATAAGTTTTCTTTAGAGCTTCAATGAAAAATATTAAGCCAATAAGCGAAGCAAATGATTCTTCAGTGAAACGTGTTATAAACTTGACTAACGCACTTAAATCAAGCGCAACCATAATGAGCAGAGCAACAGATACCCAGATACCGATCCATAGACGAAAACTAAGATAGGACCATGCCATTCGCCTAAAATAAATAGAAGAATAAAATATTCATTATCATTATTATTATCTTTATGTATAGAAGAGGCTAGCTGTACAATGTGACATGCAAGTGAACAAAATTGTTTTCAATTAAATCCTTCTTCGGTTTCACTCTAAAATGACATACCTTACAACATATTGATAAAATATGAACCGATCAAGGCAATTTGTCAGTTAATGATAACAAGGATGGAGATTGTGCACTTTCGCATAAAATTAGTTTATATAATCCCCTTAAAGCTTAATTCCCCCATGTTGACTATTTGAAATAGCTTGTTTCAATCGCATAGTTTAAAAATCAGCTCCTGTCTCCCATTTTCATCTGATTCTACTACAAATAACTTGTAATTAGTTCTAAGTGCTACTAGGCAAGATAAACAAGTCGATTGACAAGGTTATGAACGTTAGTCGACTGAGATGGCTTACACATGTGCTGCGCATGCCAAGTCATCGCTTACCTCAATACGCCATGCTAGTCCAAGTTGGATTAGATTGGAAGATGGTTCATGATGGCCAGACCAAGACCTAGTACCAGCTCATGAAGTCCCTGGTTGTTGGTCTGAGTCATGTAAGGAGATGTAGACTGTTTGGTTGGGGTCCCCAAGGCGAAAAGAATCAGTAATTGAGAACTCTTGGTGACATGGCTAAAAACCGGTCACAATGGCTGAGATGCATTCACTCGTTGACATCTTCTAAAGCTTGGTTATTTGCAGTAACTGTTATCTCCAAATCGTTTATTCTCTCACACAACTTTATCTACTTTGATATCACTCCTTTTCTATTCATCTGTTGTTTGTGTACTACTGTTAAGTGTGGCAACTTGAGCTGACGCGCTTCTGTGTAAGGTTCTACGTTGATTTTTTCCATCAGTCACTCAAGGGCCACCTCAGCAACGAAGCTAAATGTCACCTATAAGTCGTTTTTCGTGTTTCCACAACAGGTAAAACATTTTTTCCTTCAGAACTATTCATTATTTGGCCATATTTTCAAATCTTTTTGGAAGTGGAGTAATTATTTGATAAAAGTCACTACAGGATGAGAGACTGTGCTATACAGTAGTTGTCTATTCACTCATATGCTATAGGTGACTGTTTTAAGGTGATAAGTCCTGTGATCTTTGACAGTCGAAGATAAACAAACGACAATAACTGCCACAAGTATATATTATTATGTCATGGTTATTCCTGAATGAGACAGATGATGTCAGTGCCAGTAAACGAAGCATGAACCTTAAAGTTCGATAATAATTGGTATAAGATCAGTACAGAGTAGATCTTCATCAGGCAACGTCTGCGGTAATTTCTGTAATATACAAACATGTTGAATAATCTTGTAATTTGTGTAACCAATGGCAGACTTGTAGTATGACCAATGCCGACAGAACGAAAATTCTTCATTGTCAGCAAATAACTAAGATAAACTTCTATCAAGGTCAGATGAACGTAAGTTTCGTGTGAAACCTATGTTTCCCCCCACCTCCCCTCCCCTATAGATTGATCTACAGTCGGTTGCATTTTGTCTTCATGTATGAAGAACTTGGCAGTGCTCTAGGAGACTGGTTGTGTTCCGTCGTCAGTCCTACACAAATTCATATGCTGTGGTACTAGCCTAATCAGCAGCCTATCCACATGTAAGTACCAATAACAAAAGACACGTTTAGATATCTATACAATGCTCAGAAGCACAATGTTTATATTCATTAGTATGCAAAAGCACGAGTTACTTTTGAGGTTAACGTTATCACTTATCTGATTATAAGTGGCTGAACTACGTGCTCTGAAAATGTAGCTGTTAATCAGCACAAAATGGTGGTTGTCTATGCCAGGATGTCTAAACGTTGAAAAAGACCTTGCAAAACTAAAAGCACCAACTGACACCTTAGCAGATTAGTTAGTTACAGTTGAGATGTTTAAAACATTTATCAAGTGACTTCACACCTAACAGCATTTTCATGTCAAGCATGGGCACTATAATACCAATGAGTTTGGTGTCTGTTGGCCTCAACTATATTCATACAACAAGACTGACACATAGAGTTGGTAATAACAAACCTTCTGGTAACTGTTTATAACATGGTTACAGGAACTTGTTATAAGTCAGCTTACTTTCAAGGGAAGAATCACCGCATATATGTGTGCATCACATGTCTCATTCTTGCAGATTTTGCTACGGTGCTCTACACTACGCTAATATGGTTGTTGGAAGCAGTTACCGTTATGAATAACTCAGTGACCACCATTCAAATATATTCACAGTAATTTCACTTTCAACGAAGGGGATGAAATAAAGTATCGATTACAAATGTGTGCAGTAGGTCATTGAATGACCGTATGAATGTGACTGCACCTAATCATATCGTTAACTGATGATATTCATGTTCAACAAAAGGTTGCACATAATGGAAAAAAGATTGTATTTTAAAAGATGGTGACTTTAAAAAAATATTTACAACAAAACGCTTTTAAGAGACTGGAATACTGCAAATGAGCCATAAAAAGAAAGACTTGAACGAAAAAATTTCTCTCTATGATATCATTTTCATCTGTAAGTAGAAACCACTTGAATTTAGAATTCAACGGCGACAATAAATAACATGCTGAAATGTCGATGAGTGAAAGTTGTTAAGAGAACACTCTATGCTGCAACTGTAGGAATCACTTCCACTAGCCATCCAACGGTTAGCACCTGTTTGAACGCCAAACTTCGACTTCTGGCTGCTTCACTCTGTACCTATTAACTCGCTTCTTTGAAGTTATTTATATAAGCTGAATACAGAGGACTGTTCAACGCTGAGGTGAACACTTTCTGAAATAGCTCAGTAAAGAGGAATTTAGATCTCATCAATATTTTTAGTATTTGTCATTCACTAGAGAATATAGAATTACCAATTCATTCAAACTTATCTGTCTATTGTAAATTCATTCTGTCAAAAATTTCACAGTTTCTACAATTACTACAGAGATTCCAGGTGTGTAAAGATCATTGTAAATCAAGATGTACGGACGGCATAAATGAAAAAGGGAATCTTAGGCAAGCATTATCAGTAGTATTATTCCATTTATTTTAAAAGACATTTTACTCAGTACTTATTTTATAAAATTATTCTATAGCTCACAACTGAAGAGCTTTCAATTAACTCCTCATACTCAACTTCATAAAACTGATGGTTGGGAAATAATAACTGAATGCTAAATGGAATTAATTTACGTGAACTATCCTAATTTCTGTATATTAGATTAGTTATCGCGTGCTGAGGCTATGATTTGAATCAGTTCTATGAATAGATATATAACTCATTTCATATAATAAACCATGACGTTATTGAGGCGTCAGTCTTTACCTTCGATTATGAAACCGGTAGATGTGAAAAGGGGAGGCAGGTTGATAGTTAGAAAATCAAATGTATTAACTTGTCCCTTACTTTTGGTTCGGCATGTGACTCATTCATAGCGATTTAAAGAAAGTTAAGACTGATCCGGGTGATCAGAGTTACATGACAGTTTTACAATTACTCTCTTTTGCATCTGTGTCAGTTCAGACACGTGATATCAAGGCACATCAGTTCACTTTTGGGTATAGTATACTCAAATCTCCTAAAGTGTAATTGGGTAAATTTAATTACGTTTTAAAAGTTACAAAGACACGTTACCAATAATCTGTAATGACAAGACGTGGTTACAGCAAAGACAAATGTTTTCTTTTCGACGAAGTCATTTACTAAGCTGTACATTCGTGAATATAAGCTACAGTGGGCAGAACATCCCAGAATTATTTCCGGTCAGGGGGCAAAATATGTTGAATAACTAAAGGAAATTAATTTGGTCAATATGTGAAAGACAAGCCGATGCATTGGGCCACATCAGTGTGTGTATACCAGTTTACTTTCTCTTGTGGAGATGAGTACGTCGGCCATACCAAACGTTTGCTTGTAAAATGTGCCTGTGAACACTACCCAGCCTAGCTGGCAAAAAGAGAACGGAAATGTACCTTCAATAAACCTTATGAACTCAAGCCACTTACCTCTTTTTGAGAGCTCATTCAAAATTCTCTAGTGTTCGATGAAACCACTCGAAGGGAGTAGGACCAAGGCATTTATCTATAGCTAAAACACTAGTCATCCAAAAGTTTAAACCAGGGTTATGCGTCCAAAAAAGGTACACGTCCAACCTTTATCTTTACGATGGCCATGATAAAGCCTTGACTCTCATAGCTTCATCCTGTATTAGGCAACTATACATGCATTTCAATAATCCTTTGTTTATTTTCCTACTCTGCAATAGGTTTGTCCGGTATTACGTAATTGCAAATTTATTCTCAAAACCCTTCGTTCATGTTCCTACTTTACCATACACTCATTCATTCATCCTGTATTGCATGATTATATTTAGTTTCATGATCCCTTGTCTATTTTCCCACTCTAAACCCAAATGTGTATTAATCTAACTCCTTTAGTTATTCAATATATTTTGCTCCCTAACCGGAAATAATTCTGAAACGTCTTGTCAACTGTAACATATCAATGAATGTACAGCTTAGTAAATGACTTCGTCGAAAAAAAACATTTTTCTTCTCTGCATCCACGTCTTGTCGTTTCCTATAATTAAATGGGCGCATTACTCTGCAATGAGTTCACTGCACTTAAGGTGATTTTTTCTGTGCTACAGTAATTGTTCCGGGTAACTTCTAACGTAATCACGGACAGAATACGTCGCACATATCGCCGAGCTATCCTGACCGACAATAACACATATGACAACAGTCAGAAGACGAATGGTAAGGGATAGTATAGACTGTCATGAGTTACATTAGTCAATATCATAAACATAATCGACTGCAATAGAAATTTAATATTGCCACATGCAGTATCTGTACATCTGGTAGTATCACACTGGTATTATCAGGAATACCTAGGCATTCATACTGCAGTCTAATAGTGGTAAACCAGTTCCGTCCAATCGACAATAGGAAACTGCCAAATATACC